GATAGATAGGAAGGAAGGAGAGAAAAATACCAAAAATAAGTAAACAGCAAGCAAGCCAGGGTGTCTAGAGGAGCAACATGGTTCGGGGACGGTGGTGGCTTCCGCAAAGACAGTGACCTCACACAGCCTCAGGGCAGCTCGGTCCTCTCCGAGGGCTGACGGCTGTGATGGGCCGGCTGTGCAGGATCCACATGGAACCCAACCTCGCAGATCCCCCTTTTCCGCCTCCCAGCCCTCACTTGGATTCCCACACATCCACATCCACACTCGGGAGGCAGAGGCAGGAGGATCTGAGGGACTGTAATCTTCATTCCTTACAGAACAGGCACCTGATAAAAATCAGAGACACTACACAGGACAGCAAGACGCTGGATGTCGGCAGAGATTGGAGATAGAGCTTCACTCCGAGGTGAGGTTCAGGCTGCCTGGGGTCTGAACTCACTATGGAGCCCAGGCTGGCTTCCAACTCCCTGAAATCCTCCCGCCTCAGCCTCCCGGGTGCTGGGATGACAGACATGTGTCACCACGCCCAGCTTGGTCAGAACCCTTCTCCAGGAATCTCTCCAACCCCGTGCCTCCCCCTGCCTGACCCACCCCTGCTTCCCCCCAGCCCCAGGCCTTCATCCCCTTTGCAAAGGGTCCTTACAGCCCTCCTGATTCTGCTGGACCTGTGCGGCCACCAGCTCCCTGCAGGCCCCAGACCCACATGGGGGGGGCCAAGAGAAGGAGGGGGAGGGGAGACCGACCAGGGGGTTGGAAGGCTGCAGGGGAGCCCCTTTAGGAAAGCTGGGGAGGACTTTCAAGGCAATGGCCGAAAGTTTTATGAAAACCTGGTGAGGTCAGGGTGGCACATGTGTATTATTCCAGCACTCTGGGAGGCTGAGGCAGAAAAACTGTAATTTAGCAACTCAGCAAGACCCTGTCTCAAAAGATGATTTTTTTTTTTTTTTTTTTTTTTTTTTTGAGGCAGGGTCTTGTTTTGTAATTCCAGCTGGTCTTGGACTTTTAGTGATCCTCCTGTCTCCGCCTCCCAAATACAATGGGATAACAAGCATATGCCACAACGCCTGGCTGAAAATGAAAAACTTTAGGAACACGCTGGGGATGAGGCTCAGTGCAAAGGCCAGGGTTCAAGCCCCAGTGCCTGCCCCTAAGACAGACCGACACACACTCCACAGATCTCGTGAGAATTTGGTGACCCTCCTGCCTCTGCTGGGCGGTAACTCTTGCCCGGGTGCTGCTGTCAATTAGAGTCCTAAGGCAGGCGGGAGGAGCTCAGGTCAGCCTCGCAAAGTGGGTTCAGGCTAGGTCCCCCGTAGTCCCAGGGCAGACAGGTGCCCAGTGGAGAAGGCACCGCGGCTCTGAGCTAGTCTGGGAACAGCTGGGACTCAGCGGCGCTGCAGCGCGACCAGCAGGGGGCGCTGGGCTCACCGGCCCGCATCCAGAGGCTGAGACAAAGGAGATGCTAAATAGGAAAACTAGAGAGATTTTAGGTACCAGGAATTGAACTCAGGACCTTGAGTTTGCCAGGCAGGTGCTTATGCCACTTAGCTATATCCCCAGCCACCAAAACTATTTTTGGGTTATTTTTAAAAAGCAAGAAAATTAGCCAGGCATGCTGGTGTGCGCCTGTAACCCCAGACTGGAGATGAGGCAGGAGGATCACAGACAGTTCAAGGCTAGCCTGGACTATGCAGCGAGATCCTGTCTCAAAAACAAAACACAATACCCAAAAACAAACAAAAACCAGACGATGGCTACTACCTGGAGGCTGGCTTGACGGCATGGCCCAGGGCATAGCATTACTAACCATGTTTTGTCTTTGATTTTTTTTTTTTTTTTTTTTTTTTTTGCACCAGGGATTGAACTCACAACCTCATATTTGCCAGGCAAGCACTGGGCTAAATCCCCAGCCCTTGTTTTGGTTTTTGAAACAAAGTCTTGCTATGCAGTTCAAACTGACCTTGAACCATCAGTGACCCTCCTGCCTCAGCCTCCTGCTGGGATCACAGGTGTGCGTTCCCACGCCAGGCCTCAATCCTATTTATTTATTTAGGCTTTTTTTGAAACAGGGTCTCGCTATGCAGTTCAGGCTGGCCTTGGCCTCATTTTGTAGCCCAGGCTGGTCCTGAATTTTGCAGTGATCCTCCTGTCTCAGCCTCCCAACCGCTGGGATCACAGGTGTGTGCACCACCACGCCTGGTTTATTTTTTTATATATTTCAAAATAGGATTTGTAAATGACAGGGCTGGCTTGGAATTTGCGTTCCTCCTGTCTCTGCCCCAGAAGTAGCACCCTTCTGTTCTCTGAGCTGGGTGGAGCGTCCACAGCTTAGACCAGTGACAAGACAGTGCCGGCAGCCAGAGGGCTCGAAGAACCCCATTCCGAGTCGGATGTCCTGTCACAATGAATAAAAATAAAGTCCTCTGGGCTCACCCTCGTTCTGCTTATTTTTGCACTTCCTCCCACAGGGTTGCAGGGGTCAGCGCAACCCTGCTCTTGGCAATCGGGGGCCGGAAGCGCTCTGGGGGCTGAGCCATATCTGGTTCACATAGCTGTTGATAGACTGCCTGTGGTGAGCGCTTCCAAGAAGCTGTGTAGCAGTTAAAGAAGCAGTATTTACAAGAAATGCCTGCACCCCACCCCTGCCCCCACTCCCATCCCCCACCGTGCTCAGCCTCTAGGCCTGCCAGAAAGGTGGGGTACGGAGTTGGGGGCGCTGGATCCTGAAGGGACCGAGAGGTGGCAGCTAAGCCACATGGGTAAGCTTCTGGTGGCAGCATGCATGTTGGGGACCCTCCGGGTTTCACCCCCAACACTGCAAAAGCAAACACACAGAACCAGGAAACTCGGGACGGCACAGTGGTCACCAGCATGGCCCACCTGGGTCCCAACTCTGACTAGGCCTCTTACTCTGATTTTTTACGACAGGCTCTCACTCTGTAGCCCAAATTGGCCTGGAGGTTGAGGTGTCTTCCTGCCTCAGCTTCCTGAGTGCTGGGATGACAGGTGTGCCATCTCCAGGGGATTTATCACGGACGATGGAAGACAAACCAAATTCTGAGCTGACCACTCCTTAAAATGTGACCTTGGACGTGATGTATAATATGCTCTGTGACAAAGAATAGGACAAACTCACCGGGCGTGGTGGCTCACGCCTGTAATCCCAGCACTGGGGAGGCTGAGGTGGGAGGATCGTTGTGAGTTCGAGACCAGCCTGGGCTACAACATGAGCTCAAGGCCGGCCTGAACTGCATAGCAAGATCTGCCGGGGCTGGGGATTTAGCTCAGCGGCATAAGCACCTGCCTTGCAAGCAGGCAGTCGTGGGTTCGATCCCCGGTACCAATAAAAAGGAAAAAGACAAAAAAAAAAAAAAAAAAAAAAAAAAGATCTGCCTCAAAAAACAAAGACAAAAAAAAAAAAAAAAAAAAAAATAGGACAAACTCCCCTCAGCTTGATTTTTTTTTTTGAGACAGGGCTTTGCTATGTAGCCCAGGCTGGTCTTAAACTTGTGAGGAATCCTCCTGCCTCAGCCTCCCGAGTGCTGGGATTAAAGCATGTGCCACCACCATGCCCCGAACACCTTCATCTTTAGGTCAAGAAGTACCGCCAGTCATTGGAGGGGACCCCTCTCCCCAGCTGACACCTCCCACAGACAGCTGGGAGCTGCCACAGCATCCAGAAGCTCGTTTCTTCCCAATTCTACTGCACTCACAGCAGCCGCCAGAGAAGCAAATCGTCCCCCTGTAACACGTCGGCTACTTAACCCCGTCTTCCTGGCAGCCCGACCCAGGAGCAGGAGCTCTCAGCCTCAGCCGCCCACAGTCGAACGCCAGAGCAGATTCCCTAATGGATATTCTTAGCCAGGCATAGTGATTCCAGAAGGCAGGAGGCTGAGGCAGGAGGATCCTGGTTAGTTTGAGGCCAGCCTGGGCAACACCTGAACTGCATAGCAAGACCCTCTCATTAAAAAAAAAAAAAAAAAAAAAAAAGCACAAACTTACTTCAGGGAGAGGGGGTGAGGCTTTCCTGATTTCATTAGCCCTTGGGGCAACTCCTAAGGGTTCAGGTGCAAGTTTACTGGGAAGGGTGACCAAGCAGGCTCCATGGGGTTGCAGTGGCGGGGGAGGGGAAGGCTGAGGGGGATCCTCAGGAAGTCGCCCCAGAGCCAAGAAACCCTTCCTTCCTCCTGAGGGCTACATGGGGACTGTGCTGGGGTGCAGGCTGCATGGAGCAGGGTCCATGTGCTATGGACGCCAGGGGATTGGAGGGAGGACGTGGAGACTGCCGCTGGCAGACAACGCATTTGCTAAGATTTAACGTTGCTCTTTCTTGGGGTCTCAGCGGGTTCAGGCCAGAGGGGCCAAGGGAGAACCGGGAAGAAAACATGGGAGCACCAGGCTTCTCAGCTGCACCCAGTGCTGACTCTGGCCAGGACACACACAGGAGGGGTAAGAGCCAGGCCCTGCATTTCCACCACCATCAGTCATGTCGAAGCCTCCATCCCTGTAACAGGAAACTGGACTAAAGACTGGGGGAATAAGGTGCAGGCTTTTCAGGAAGACTTAGAGCAGCTTAGAAGACAGCAGGGGTCTTGAAAGAGTCTCATCTCACCAGTAGTTCAGGTTGGCTGTCAGCAATCCTCCTGCCTCAGCTCCCTGGCAGTGGGATTACAGGTATGCATGGCCCCAACTGTAACCAGCACCTGTGCCACACCAGCCTTCAAAATGCTTTAGGAGTGGCTACGAAAAAAACAGGCTCCCAAGTCACTCAAGCAATAGCTATAGCCCCTTCCAGAGCAATCCTGGGGCAGTGACCCATCAGATACAGAGGGGCCCCTCCTGTCCACATCCCCCTGCCCCGACCCCATGGTCATTCAACTTCCCAGGAGAGCAGACCCTCCCAGCCCACCCCAGGCCCGTGGCCATCACCCTGCTTCTGTAAGGGCTCCCAAGTACACTCAAGTCAGCACTTCTGCATGGACGACCAGGAACCACAGTTAAGACAAAAGGTTTTTATTCAAAAAATGCCAAGTATAAAAAAAAAAATAACAAGATCTCTTTTATTCCCCTGTACAGTATTTCACTCAGATAAAACCAGCAGGCCACACGCTGCTTGAAACAGCCCCAGGGAGGACCCAAGGCACATGCCATCCAGAGCCGGTCCCGACCTCCGTCCTATATACAAGTCAGCTGTGTTGGCTGTCCCCCACCTGGGTCCCATCACCCCACGCACGGCAAGCGTCACAGCCCTCCCCAAGAGGTCCCCAAGTCAGAGGAGGAAAGAAGGGAAGAAAACAAAACCCCCCCCCCAAAAAAAAAAAAAAACTAGCACAGCAGCTGTGGGAGCTCAGAGCAGGAAGGTAACCAAATAAATAAATAAATAAATACATAACATCACCCTCCATCCGGGTTAGAATGAGCATCTTTCCAAACAACAAAATTGAAATGGAAAAAAAAAAAGTAAAATAACTTAAAAAGATTAAAAAAAATTAGATCAACTATGATCCTTTTGTATACTACCATGCCTACTGTACACACATTTACAGCGGTTCCGTTTGCATTGTTCGTGCATTGTGTGTGTGTGTGTGCATGTGTGCGCGCGCGCAAGGCCCTGGCTTGGAAACAGGTTACGTAGAAACCAAAGAGGAAGACGGGTTCACTGGAGTTTTACTAAAGGAGGCAGAAAGCAGGGTGCGGCTCAGCGGTGGCCCCCTGGCCTCTTCCTTGGCACCTTTCCTATGGAGGAGGGGTGGGAACGGGGACCCAACCCAGGCAGATTTTGGGGGAAGCAGCAGATAAGAGGCAAGTTCAAGTATTTCTCCCAGCACAGCCGGAGTCCCCGCAAAAGGCACTCGAAAGAGTCGGAAGAGGTGACAGGGACTTCAAATGATGCTAGTCTATACCCCGCCCCCGCCCGCTTTCCACCAGACCCACCTGGAGTTCAGAAGGGGACAGCGCCAGGCAGGGCCCCACCCCTGCTGGTCTCCCAGCAGCCCCTGGAGCCCAGGGAGGACGCGTCTACACAGGCAGGGGCCAAGTGGGCCAGGAAGGGACCCAGGGCCCTGGAGTCTGGAATGAGTTGAGAATCGTTGTTCCTGTCCGGCACTGTCCTGGGAATCACTGAGGGGGGTTCCCCCCCCCTGGCAGCCCGGCGGGGAGGGCGGGCCTGGCGCAAAGAAGGTTGCTATTTGCTGGTCCCCGGAGACAGGGTGTGCAGGTGGATCTCGGCGGTCTCCTGGGGCAGCAGCCCGGCCTGCATCCATGGGTGATTCTGGATTTCCTCGAAAGTCGGCCGATCAGAGGGCCTCAGGGCCAGGCACCAGCGGATGAGATGCTGACACTCTGCAGGAGGAAGGCGGGAACATGCTCGTTACAGTGACTCAGCCCGGTTCCCGGGGCCCAGGGTGGCGGGCTGAGTGAGCACAGCCCCCCGCCGGGTGATCTGGACTCCAGCCCACTGTGGTAGGAAAGTATCTCCCCTCTTACAACTTGTGGTTTCCTAACTTCAACAGCAGGGCCTTTCCCACGACACCCACTCACAGAACTGAGACGTGAGTCTCAGCCTCACCAGAGCACCAAGGTGACTCAGGTCACCCCAGCTTGCAGGTGAGCTCACCCGGGCACTGCAGGGGAGGCAGGGAGGGGGGCCTCCTCTGCTCCCGGCTGTTCCTCACCTTCGGGGGCACCATCCATCCACAAGGCCACAACTCCGGCCTCCCCTCTTTTTTCCTGAGACCCACTTTTGCTACATTTAAACTGCCCAGACTGGACTTCTCCCTCAACCCACCTGCCTCAGACCCCCAGGTCTGAAAAAACTGGACAGGGAAGACAGCTGGGTGCAGTATTGCACGCAGCACTCAGGGAGGCTGAGGCAGGAGGATGGCCAGGAATTTGAGACCAGCTCAAGCTACATAGTGAGATCTTGTCTCAAAAAAAAAAAAAAAACAAAAAGACACCAAGCCCTTCAGTGCAGTAGCAGAGCAATGGCCTCCTATGCAGAAAGGAACGCCGGGGTCTGATTCTCCAGAGCAAGACTTTAGAGAAACCAAGACTGCTGTAACACACTCGCCCTCTGACCTTCCACCCCAGGTGCCTGTGTGGGTAAATGTGGGGGGCCGCACAAATTGTAAGCCACAGGTCAGGGCCTCCTTGCCCAGGGAGCTCCGCAAGTCACCTGAGGAGACCCGCTGTCGGAAGAAGACCTGGCCCCGGACGATCTCCTCGTCGTGCTCGAAGGGGATGTCACCACACACCATGTCGTAGAGCAGGATCCCCAGAGACCACACGGCAGCAGACCTGCCATGGTAGCGGTGGTAGCGGATCCACTCAGGAGGGCTGTACACCCGGGTCCCTGCGAGCGAAACAGGAAACAGAAAAATACACACTGAGCCAATGCCAATCCCGAACTAATTAAAAAAAAAAAAAAAAAAGGAACCAACTCCCCCTCTCTCAGGAGCTAGGTGAACTGCTTTTTGCATCCTGGGCTACAAGAAAAGTGGAAAGGCAGTTTCTGGCTTCCTTCCAACCCAAAACAGCACCCACCATCATTGTCCCAAACCCCGAACTAAAAATCCTTTCAAGTCAGTCCAAGAAACAAACAGGGCGCCCGCAGCCGCAGTCTGAGGCCACCGGCGAAGAAGGCGCCAGGGAGGACCCGGACCTTCCTCCCAGGTGAGATGCTCTCAGCAGATGGCATGCAGGCCAGGCAGCCTCGGCCTGGAGGCTCCCCTCCCCACCCTGTGGAACCGGGGCAGACACCCACACCCTTTCCTCCCCGGCCTGCTAAGGCAAACGAGCCGAGCCGAGCTGAGCCGCAGGGCTGGTTGCAGACCACGTGATTCCTGTTTACAAACTTTGGATAGTAAAAAAAAAAAAAGAGGTAATCCCCACGGTGGTCACCAGGGGGCAGCAAAGACTTGAAGGAAAAAAAAAAAAAAAAGACCTGGGAGGGCCTGGCCAGCCATTAACTGTGAAATACAAAAAACGCAGCCCTGCCCAGCGTCTTCCAAGGGCAAATAAACACAAACCGCAAGCCCGAGTCACAAGTTTTGAAAGGCTGGCGTTTGCTAGGGTGAGCCACTCCGGGGACGACCCACCCTCGGCGCTTTGATCTCGGGCTCTCCCCCCCGCCCCCCCCCCCGCCTTCTGTTCCAAAAGCAGCCGCTCAAGCCCCTCCCTAGCCAGATAGGTTTTCATCTCCCCGCGGAGACTCGACTCATTCCCAGTCCAGCAGCAGATTTTATTCACCGCAGTCCGCGCCCGCCTCCCCTGCCCCGCGCCACGCCGAGGAGAGAAAAATTCTATGGCGTTAAAGTCTTTCCGGAACCCTCATCCCAGATCAAAAGGGAAGCACAGCAACGCTCCACTCTCACCAATCAAAACAGAAATTAACAAAAACCCCCACCCGCGCGCCGTCTCTCCCCTCCCACCCGCATCGCTCTCTCCCAGACAGGAAAGTGGGTCAGACTTTGGAAAATCTGGGCTACGGCCCGTGGCCCACAAGCTCTTATTCATCGGGAAAGCTTGGAACCCACTGAATTCCACTGAAAAAATGCAATCATGCCAGAAGCATTACAGGTTCGGCTAGCCTGGAATCCCCGACGCAGCCGGCAGGCTCTCCTGCGCCCCACCCCGGCCAGCGGCCAGTCGGGCGGCCCAATGACCTTTACAAAGGCCCGGCGCTGTGAGGCCGCGAGGCCCGGTCAGGTCACCTGGGCAACACCCGGGGGGCCAACTCACCATCGAAGTCGGTGTAGACGGTATCCTTGAGCAGCGCCCCCGACCCGAAGTCGATGAGCTTGAGCTCGCCGCGGCTGAGGTCGATGAGGATGTTTTCGTCCTTGATGTCGCGATGCAGCACCCCGCAGTCGTGGCAGTGGCGCACGGCCTCCAGCACCTGCCCGAAGAAGCTGCGCGCCAGCTCCTCCTGGAGGGCTCCCCTCTCCGTGATAAAGTCGAAGAGGTCTTGTACCGGCTCCGGCCTCTCCAAGATCAGCACAAAACTGTCGGGCCTCTCGAACCAGTCGAGAAGCCGGATGACGCCGGAGAAGCCCGAGCTCACCTTCTTCAACAGGACCACTTCCATGGGCACCCGGGTGCCATTGGGCTGTGGGCATCAACAAGGGGGGCCGGTGAGCTGAGACGCGGGAGACGGCGAGGCGCGTGCGCACCCCAGAGGCCACCCACCCGAACCGGACCCTCCAGCATCCTTGGGGTCGCGCGTCCCCGGCGCTCACCAACTCGCCCCAGTCAGAGATCCGGTCCTTCTCCACGTGCTTGATGGCCACCTGCAAGCCCCGAGAACACAGAGCCCTTAGATCCCCCACACACAGGTCCCGCACCCGCGCCACACACACCCGGCGCGCCCGGCTCACCGGCAAGTTGTCGGCGACGCGGACGCCTGAGTACACCGAGCCGAAGCCACCGCTGCCCAGGAGCGGGCCCACCTGGTACTGCGACTCCAGGGGCTCCTTGTCCTTGCCTACGGAGAGCAGAAGCAGGGCGCTCGGCTCCAGCCCCTCGCGCGCCCCGATCCCGGCCCCACGCGCGCCCCGGTCCTCGGGAGTCGGCGGCGGGGGACGCGCACTCACCGGGAGCCAGCTTGGTGGCGTGCAGGTCGCCGCAGGGCGCGGCACGCAGGTGGGCAAGCGAGTTGATCTTGGACAGAAGCATCCCCACCTCCAGGGCGTCGGCGCGGGGACGCGGCCCGGGGCGGCTGCGGCGCGGGCTGCGGGTGGCGTTGCGGCGGGGGCTGCGGCGGGCGCGGGAGGCCGAGGCGGAGCGCGGCCCGGGGCGCCGGCGGAGGGAGAGCTGGGCAGGCGGCGGGGAGCGCGGCTGCCGGGGCGGAACGCGGGGCTCGCGGCTGCTGCGCCTACTGCTGTGCCTGCTGGTGCTGCTGCTGCTGCGGATCGCACCGCCGACTGCGCTCCGGCCTCCTCCGCCACCGCGGCCGCTGCTGCAGACGCCCGGCTCGCCCCGCCGCCAGGAGTAAAGGGGCGGAGCGCGCGGGCGGGGAGGGCGCGCAGGCGGGCGGGGCCGGGGCGGGGCCTCTCCGGGAGGCCTAGGCGGGGAGCCGGGCGGCCGGGCTGGCGCGGGGAGGCCAGGGGGTGGGGCGGTGGCCGGCCGCGGCCACTCCTCTCGGGCCCCGCCCCGCGCGCCCGGCCGCTGCGCCTCAGCCCCGCCCCCGCGGGCGAGTCGCCAGCCAATCGGAGGCGAGCTGATCTGCATAGCCGCGCGCGCCCCGCCCCACTCCCCGCGGTCAGAATGGTCTCTGCGCCGCCACGACGTGGCGGGAAGGAAAAGGCGCCAAAGCGGAGGGGGCGGCGCGCGGCGGGCGGAAGGACGGGGCGGGGCGGCGCGATTCAAACCCAAACAATAACAAAGCGGCCGAGGCGCGGCGGCGGCGGCGCGGGGATCGCGCGGGCCCGGGGTCAAGGGCTTGGGCTCGGGCCGGCCGGCCTGGCGGTCCCCGCGTGACTCAGCCGAGGCCTGGCGGGTGGGCCACGGCCCCGCGGGGCGGAGTCGGCAGCGGCGCAGTCGCCGGCCGGTGGCGCCGAGAGGCCGAGCGGGGACGGGCGCCCCCTCCCCTGCCGCCCCAGAAAGGAGGGGAAAGTGGGGTGCGCGGCGCGGGGGAGATCACGACACCCGTGTCGCCGCGGTGGGCCGGATGCCGCCCCGGCCCTGCTGAGCAAGACGCCCGGCGGCCGCCCGCGCGCGATGGCGTCAGCGCTGTCACGCTGCAGTCACCTTCCCCGTCGCCTCCAGTCCCCACGCCTGCGGTTCCGGTTGACTCCCGCCCGGGCTCGCGGAAGCCTCCGCCCACCCGTGGAAACCACGCGCCAAGCCCCGGGCCACCTCCCCTTTTGTCCCCTCTGATCTGTACTGTGAGACGCACAGGTGAATCCGCGGTGGGCTCAGGTCGTGCAGCGCGGTCTGTCCAAGTTCCAGCCCTTGAAAAAGAAGGGGCTAGCCGGGTGTGGGGGCCCACGCCTGTAATCCCAGCACTAGGAAAGCTGAGGCAGGAGAATCGTGAGCTCAGGGCCAGCCTGAACCGCATGGTGAGACCCTATCTCAGACAAAAAAAAAAGGATCTAACCCTGATGTGGCCCCACACGCCTGCACTTGGGAGGTTGAGGCAGCAAGATGCTGGAAAGGTCAAATGTTACACTATAAATGCAAGGCCTGCCTGGGCTACATAGAGAAACTCTCAAAACAGACAAGATCTAGCTCAACTGCCCAGGCTGATCTTGAATTTATAATCCTCTTGCCTTAAATTTTAGATTGGCTGGGATTACAGGTATGTATCACCATGACTGGCTCCCTCCTTTTATTTTTTATTTTTATTTTGTCTCTTTGAGACATGGTCTCCCTACACAGTTCAGGCTAAGGTTGAACTCACTTTGTTGCTCAGGCTGACCTTGAACTTACAGGGATCCTCCTGCGTCAGCCTCCCAACTGCTGGGATTATAGATATGTGCCACCGCCACCATACCTGGCTCAACTCCCTCACTTTTACTGAATTCCTTTCCACCCTTCAAGAGACCTTGACCCATTAAATTGTGCTAGGGATACATAGCTCCAATTCCAGTTTTCTGGGAGGCTGAAGCAGGAGGATTACAAATTCTAATCCAAGCTAAGAATTTAGCAAAACCTTGTCTCAACATTGGCAATCATAAGAAGGACTGGAGATGTAGCTCAAGGTGAAAGCCCTAGGTTCAATCCCCAGTACCACATACACTCACACAAAAATAGTTTCACCATCATTTGTTGAACAAAGTCCAAGCATTTCTTCATCATCCGTCCCCCTCATCTGACACTCATGTGAGGTTTTGTAACACATCTTCTTGCTTAGTCATTTGCCGGTTATTTATGCTGATTCTCTGTTCCTTGAATCCATACTTCATCCAACATTTGTTGATGGAAGAGAAAACCATGCCCCAACAGAAAGATCATGACCAAAGTCAATTTATGGAAGCCAGGGGTGATGCTGCATTACCTGTAACTCAAGGACTCTGGGGAGGCTGAGGCAGGTGGACCACTTGAGCTCAGAACTTCAGCCTGAGCAACATAGACCCCCCACCACCACCACCAAGATGTGTTTGTTTGTGGTGGGCATGTAGCCCAGCAATCAAGGTCTCCCTCTTGATTAGCATTTCCCAGGCTAGAGTTCCATCACTGCCCTAAGAAAATCAATTTATACTGGTGGCACACTCTTGTAATCCCAGCACTTGGAAGGCTGAGGTAGGAGGATGGTTTTCGAGTTCAACACCAGCATGAACTGTATAGCAAAACCCTGTCTCAAAAAGACAGAAAGAAAAGAAACAGAAAATCAGCTTATACCACGTTTCAGCAAACTAACCAAATGAGGCTTCGGCACAATAAAGCAAGGGTAGTGACACAAAAAATGCTGGATATGACACAGCAAGTTCACGGCCGTGCAGTTGAAGAACAAATTCTAAGAACAGCGGAGGTTAAGAGTAGGAAAATTTACTGGAGAACAGGAGTGGGGAATAGGGAATAGGACCTGTTCCTGAAAGACAAAAGGGGTACCCAATGGGTTGCCAAGGAGCCCGCCTCTCAAAAATAATGTTACAAAGCAAAATCATGTGACAGATACAACATGTGTCAAACTTATGATCAACCAATAGGACTGCACTGTAGTTGCTTAGGTAATAGGGATCCAATGGGAGCAAGGGTACCTGAGTGACATTGTTAACCTGAATCCGGGATCTGTAGTCTTGGCCTTGCCTTTATTTATTTATTTATTTATTTTGAGACAGGGTCTCGCTGTGCAGAGCTCAGGTTGGCCTTGAGCTCACTTTGTATCCCAGGCTGGTCTCAAACTCAAAGGATCCTCCTGCCTCAGCCTCCCAAGTGCTGGGATTACAGGCGTGAGCCACCAAGCCCGGCTTTGGCCTTGTCTTTAGTTTTATAGTCTTAGTCTTAGTGATGGGAGAGTTTTAGGCCCATCTTCAGGAAGATGAAGGGAAATCTCAAAAAGGTGGCACCATGCTGGGGGTTTAGCTCAGTGGCACAAGTGCCTGACTGACAAACGAGGTTGTGAGTTCCATCCTCAATACCAAAAAAATAGAAAAGAAAGTGATACCAGTACCCCAAGCCTGGGTTCATCCCTAGGGAAATATGTAAATCCAGCCACTGTCACTTTAATCCTTAAAGGCAACAGCCACAGTCCTGACGGATTCTCTCTCTTTTTTTTTTTTTCCTGATGGATTCTCTTTTGCACTGACTCCCTGTCTTATTGCCTCTCCTCTCTATAAACTTCTTTCTCCTTTTTTTTTTTTTTTTTGGTGGTGCCAAGCATCGAACTCACAACCTCACACTTGTCAGGCAGGCACTTATGCTGCTGAGCTAAATCCCCAGCCCGTTTGTTGTTGTTGTTGTTTTTTGTCTTTTTCGTTTTTATCAGTACCAGGGATTGAACTCACGACTGCCTGCTTGCAAGGCAGGCACTTAGGCCACTGAGCTAAATCCCCAACCCCAAAATAAAAGGTTTTAAAGGGCTTGGACGTAGCTCAGGGCAAAGGTCCTGGGTTCAATCCCCAGTACCCCCCCCCCAAAAAGAAGTTTTATGTGTTAAATCAAGTTTTTGATATGCATCTGTAATTTCAGCCTCAGGGAGGCTGAGGCAGGAATATCACAGGTTCAGGGCTAGCCTGGTCTCCATTGTCAGACCCCATCTCAAAAAACAAAATCAAAAAAGTTAATAAGTTAAAAGTCCAACTTGTAGTGTATGCCTGTAACTCCAGCACTTGGGAGGCTGAGGCAGGGGGATCACTGCAAATTCAAGGCCAGCCTGGGCTCCATGGTGAGACCCTGTCTCCAAAAAATAAAACAAAACAATCCTATAGCAGGGCCAGTACTAAAAGAAGCACTTTGCCCAAGGGTAGACAGCCAGAGGCTGCACAAACTCCTGTCACCCATCCTTTGGTTTTTTGAGGAGGGACATGAGATGAATTTCAGCAATTTTCCATTTTGTTACTAAATTTCAACAGTATTATCCACAAGGCCTGGTTCCAAGAGCGCTGAAAAGTCAGGAAAGGCTTTGAGGCCAATGTACACTTTCCTCTGTCTGTCCCTTTTTCTTTCTTTTTTTGAGACCAGCTCTCACTGTGTAATCCAGGCTGACCTCAACAAGATTCTCCCAAAAAAAAAAAAAAAAAAACATTCTCCCACCTCAGCTTCCTGAGTGCCAGGATTCCAGGTGTGCACCACCACGCCCAGTTTTTAATGTGGATTTTAGAACATGAGACAGGAATCAGCAGAAAAGAGTGAGAACAGGAGCTTAGTAAGATCAGGAATGACGGGGACTGGGGATTTAGCTCACTCAGCAATATAAGTGCCTGCCTTGCAAGCAGGCAGTTGTGAGTTCGATCCCTGGTACCTATAAAAACGAAAAAGACAAAAAAAAAAAAAAAAAAAAAAAACATCAGGAACGGCAGCAAAACATGCTTTGTGTTGAGCAGGGCATGGTGGCTCACACCTATAATCCTAGCACTTGGAAGGCTTGAGGTGGGAGGATCCTTGGGAGTTCGAGACCAGCCTGGGCTACAAAGTGAGCTCAAGGCCAGCCTGAACTACATAGCGAGACCTTGTCTCAAAAAGACAAGTAAAAACAAAAGACAAATAAATAAATAAATAAATAAATAAATGTTCCTCAAGCTTGTGAAATGAATGAGCAAAAGTTTCTTAGAAAAAGAAAGAAAAGCAAGGCTGGGCGAGGTGGTACACACCTGTCATCCCTCCATTTGGGAGGCTGAGGCAGGAAGATTGCCAGGAATTTGAGGCCAATTGAAATTACATATTCAGTCTCAAAAAACAAAACAAAACAGAAGAAAAACAAAGCTGGGCATAGTGGCACCGGTGTGTAATCCCAGCACGTGGGAGGCTGAGGCAGGAGGATCTCTGAGTTCAAGGCCAGTCCGGACTACATAGGGAGACCGTGTCTCA